ACACGCATTCTTGATATATTATCTTGTCATTTATGGCACATCTGTGCCAGCTATTGCCACCATCTGTTTGTCAAATTCTTGTGTACCCAGACACTGCAGCATGAATTTTGCCACATCCTGGCGACATATGGCGTTATTTGCTCCAGGGACAAACTGACCAATATGCGTCAGAATTCGTGCACCTAAAATCAAACAAAACAAGCAAGATAACATTCACAATAACAATTGTCTGACTAATAATAATATTCTGGCTTTACTGTACACCTTCATATGACAGTTATAAGTATGCTTGTGGAGAGGAATACAAACTGTGAAACACGGCTTTTATCACAGAAACATACAAGATTGTATGGTCTTTAAAAAAGTATATGATGCAAGGAGGCAGCGCCATGGTCTAGCGACTAGACGCTCGCCTGCGGATCGGAAGGTGTTGTGTTTAGGTTTTAACAGCGGCCAGACTTTATTCGAAAATGATCTCGGCGCCTAGGTTGACCCAGTCTTGAGTGGGTACTAGGTACAGTCCTGGGAAGTAAAGACAGCCGGCATGATGCTAACCACATCACCCGTCAAGAGTCATTTGGTTTATAAAACATAGGTCTAGCCCTATATGCCCAATATGCCTAAAGGTGTGGAAAATGGTTCTTTTTTTGTGTGTGAAGCAAGGAGAAGCCTGAGACAGGCTTCCAGCTGTCTAAGACAGGTATGTGACACATGCTGCTGACTGTCTTCTTTGTGCTCTTCACTACTGCTGAATCTTGCTGCAACTAAGAGCTCACTGAGAGGATTATGATGAATTAGATAATAACAAAGTAATAACAATGATGAGGCTGTATTTATTATGAAACAGATTTGTCATGGGCAACATTAACTTAAATTCTTTTACATTTTCATTATTTTCTTCTTATTTTTCTCTTGCTTTGATGTGTTGTTTCTCTCATGTTATTTTATCCTGTTTTCCCCAGGATGAGGAGCAATACTGAACTTCCAGCTTTAGACTTAAATGTAGCCGATTAGGCAAGTTACCCGTGTGGATTCCAGGACCCTATTGCGGGAAAAACAAGAATAGACACACTGCTTCGCCAACAAGCATTTCATAAGAGTCGACTAATTTGGTGCTTCCCTCAAAGTCAGGCAAGAAACCAGCAATCTTCATACAAGTAAATCAGATCTGTAAAATGGATGTGCACGCAACACTAAGGTTCTGGAACAAGACTAATGTCCAAAGGTGGAAGAACAACCAGAACTTTCTGCCGCAGTTTAGAGCTGGTGAACGTGAAGAAGAAGATTAGCAAGTGTATTACCATTTAACCTGATATGTTCATTATGGGCAAAATGAATAAAAATTATGAACATGATTTAGAAACAAGAACAAAGGAAGTCAAAGCGATCTTTTCCTGTTGTAAATTGAAAAAAGAAGACGAACAAAATATTGTACAATTAATTGCCTGGCATATTTCGCTGTATCTCTTCAAAATTTGTGCTTCAGTTATAAAAGATTCACTTATCTGCCTGATTTATTTAACTGTTTTTGTAGTATGCTCCTGGCGAGATACAGTGAAATATGCCAGGCAGTAAACTGTGCAATCTATTGTTTGTTTCTTCTTTGTTCATACAAAGGAAGTAATGAAACAAAGATGTTTAAAGGATCAGTTTCTTATTTTTTTAACATCCACAAATACATGTTTAGAAAACAAAAATGAGACACTTGTTTTCTAAAAACATATGTTGGCTTTATTTATATTTGTAAAGAAAGACTGTCTTTTACCAGTGGATGGATTGTTTGTCAGCCTTGGTGGTCTCACAATGGTGTAGTTTATGTCGCTGCAGTCAGAGAGTAGAAAGTCTTCAAATAACTCCATATCTCGAACAAGGTTTCGCAGAAACGATGGCAAGCTCACGGGATGATAATTTGTCATTGTTCTTTGCAGTTTGCTGGGCCATATATTTCAAACTTTTTTTTTTCAATGCGCGCATTCTTTGAAGGCTCAGGTGGCTGAGTCACACCTGGAGAATTGAGGATGGAAGAGTCCATAGACATCCTCTGTGGTGAATTAAAGACGGGTAGATGTTGAGGCTGACCTCTAATATGATATAAAGATATGTGCAAACGGGACATGAATGATTCAGGTATTTAGGTGGACTCGTGAAAAAAAAATGCCATGGACTGTGTTGTGTGGAGAGGGCACATCAGGAAGGGAATGAGATTGAATAGAGAAATGATTGCATAAAGCAAAAGAGCTGAGCATCTGAGGGGGAAAAAAAAGCCTAAACACAAATGTTTACAACAACAGTCCTGAAATCCTTTGCGATAACTGTGGAAAACTTTTCTAAACACCGGCGGGCCTTGCTAGTCACACTCGCCATCGCCATGGACTGTGTCCCATGCCTCCTCATAGCACAATATAACACTGTCGTCTGGAAAGACGCGAAGGTGTCAGTCAATCAGTAATGGCCCATTTTAGAGGGTCACACATTGAAGTGGTGTTATACTGTGAGTTTTATATTTCTGTTGCTCCACTAAATAATATTTATTATTGTTTTGCTTCTAGCATTTAGCAAAGCTGTCTTTTTTCTATGCCAGAATAAGCTATCCTGAGCCTCTGCCATTCTTATTGCAAGACATTTTAATTCAATTTATTACTCAATATGTCCTAACTCCAAGTATTTTGGCTTGTCTTCATTTCAAATTTTAATTAACAGTTAGCACAAAAATTCAAACTTGATGTAGTTTCTGCATGGGCAAACAATGATGTTTGATTTCTGTGGGAGTTTTGACAATTTGGATGTTAGACTTCTGTGTAAGTTTCAGCAGTTTAAAAAATAAGCAAAGATAACCTTTGCGTGTAAAATATATAAATAAAAATATTTTATTTTAAATAAAAATAGATCCAAGAATATTTTTAATATTCTTATACTGGTCATCAAACTATAAACAACATAGAAATTCTATGTCTGATTCACTGAGGAAATTTCTTTTATGGTTATAACCATTGTTCTTTTTCCGGTGTTTACAATATGGAATCAGAAGTAATCACAACAATTTTCTTTTTCAGTTGTGTGCATGTCTGTTTTACAGATCTAGCTTGTTTGTATACAGACTGTTGGTTCCTTGCCTCTCAGGTAGAGGCGTTCTGACATTAAATGAAACATCCCTAATTAGTCGCCTCCCCCAAGCATGTCAGGGAAGCAGTGGGTCTATTTATTCCTCCCCCTCCCCAAATAAGCCCTGTAATCCACAGAGGGAAGATAAAGCTGCATAGTAAATATGACAAACATTAGACACACTGATACCACAAATATTATTCATATAACACACACAAATATTTCACAAGATAACAGTCAAGTATTTTATTAATCTTTATTTAAAATGTTTTAAAAAAAAAAAATCATCAGATGTTAATTAATCAATTAATAAAATAAAATGTAGGTTTTTAATGTCATTAACTCTTTTTATCCCTAGCAATGTACCAGGTAATATACTGAGGAAATGAGGACATCCAAGGAAACTCCTAAGATAAATGTTCATGAGAAAGGCCAAAGCTACTGGGCTGGATTCCACCCATATTGAGAAAAAAAAAAAAAAAAAAAGGATACAATAGAAAGGAATGAAGGCATAGACTGAGAGCCCTACATGATGTATAACTGCATTTCAGGATGGTGATTTTTGAATATATCATGTGGGATTGGCTATTATTCATGTACATCAAACAAAGTGCCACATATAATTGTACTTCTTCACATTTAATCACAGCATGCTAATGAAATCTGAATTATGTTTGTGTAATTACAAAGTATTTACTTTGCTCCTGTAAAGGTAATACCTCTGTGGCTTTATAACAGTCTTCTAATTTCTTTTGTCAGTTTCAGGCAGGCTGAACTTTAACTCCTTCTAGCTTAAGATGTTATTACTTAACTAATAACTAGTCAAATCTGAAGAGTTAAAATAATAACAAATTTGAAACGCTAGTGTGGACAATCATAACTAGCACAAAGTAAAATCATGTTAACAACTAGATAAAATGTTAGGGGTTAAGAAAAGAATATTAACGAACACATTGTGAGTTACTTGGTACTGAAAGAGTTAAGCATCAGTTGTGATCTTCGTTAAGGCACATGGTGTCTGGAACACATTTTCATCACATAAGAGGTTATTTTGGTATTGTGCTAGCTGCCTGTTCTTCTCCAGAATACAAATGTTATATACGGGTTCTAAGAATATCATGGGTAAAGAAAAGAACAAATGCATCCATACTTCAAGAACTAAATAGTGAAGAAGGTTGGCTATTAAAGATGATAAAACACAGAAAGTTTAAATATTTTAGTCACTTGAAACATCAGAAACGTTTGGTGAGCAACAATGGAGGGGTATATGCCTGGGAAGAGAGGAAGAGGAAGGCCAAAGAAAAGATGCGTGCAGGATGTGGCGAATGATCTCCAGATGGGTGTATCAGATGCAGGACATCTTGCTTGTGATCGAGAAGTTTTCTGGAGGGTTGTTATGGAAGCAAGGTTCTGCAAAGGACGTTCTACTGACTGACAGTTATCATAAGTCATCTTCTTCAACGATCTCTGGTCATGTGCCTAATCAACTATCAGCCATAAAATGGGATGTCATTTAATGTCGTCCCAAACCTTAGCTGTCATGACTTCTCTGTTTAGTCCTGGCTTTTGGATAGAAAGTGTTATAGCAATAAGTTAAATATATAAGGAACAACATTTTAAAAAATATTTCAAAACTGGTTGAGAAACATAAAGAAATGTGGACCATATACTGAGTAATCAATGAATGTTCAGTTAGTTTCTTGGTACTAAAACAGGCTGTGGCTCTGCAATTGTGACATAAATTTGCCAACTAATAGACAGAGGTGGCCAAGCTAGACTCCCTGATACCCCTTTGATATTTAGATGGGATTAGACTGAGGAAGAGGATACAGATATATATGCGCATATACATAATCTTTGACATCCTCACACGCATTCTTGATATATTATCTTGTCATTTATGGCACATCTGTGCCAGCTATTGCCACCATCTGTTTGTCAAATTCTTGCGTACCCAGACACTGCAGCATGAATTTTGCCACATCCTGGCGACATATGGCGTTATTTGCTCCAGGGACAAACTGACCAATATGCGTCAGAATTCGTGCACCTAAAATCAAACAAAAGAAGCATGATAACATTCACAATAATAATTGTCTGACTAATAATAATATTCTGGCTTCACTGTACACCTTCATATGAGTTATAAGTATGCTTGTGGAGAGGAATACAAACTGTGAAACATGGCTTTTAAGACAGAAACATACAAGATTGTATGGTCTTTAAAAAAGTATATGATGCAAGGAGGCAGCGCCATGGTCTAGCGACTAGACACTCCCCTGCGGATCGGAAGGTGTTGTGTTTAGGTTTTAATAGCGGCCAGACTTTATTCAAAAATGACCTCGGCGCCTAGGTTGACCCAGTCTTGAGTGGGTACTAGGTACAGTCCTGGGAAGTAATGACAGCCGGCATGATGCTAACCACATCACCCGTCAAGAGTTATTTGGTCTATAAAACATAGGTCTAGCCCTATATGCCTGAAGGTGTGGAAAATGGTTCTTTTTTTGTGTGTGTGTGAAGCAAGGAGAAGCCTGAGACAGGCTTCCAGCTGTCTAAGACAGGTATGTGACACATGCTGCTGACTGTCTTCTTTGTGCTCTTCACTACTGCTGAATCTTGCTGCAACTAAGAGTTCACTGAGAGGATTATGATGAATTAGATAATAACAAAGTAATAACAATGATGAGGCTGTATTTATTATGAAACAGATTTGTCATGGGCAACATTAACTTAAATTCATTTACATTTTCATTATTTTTATTCTTATTTTTCTCTTGCTTTGATGTGTTGAGGTTTCTCTCATGTTATTTTAATCCTGTTTTCCCAGGATGAGGAGCAATACTGAACTTCCAGCTTTAGACTTAAATGTAGCCGATTAGGCAAGTTACCCGAGTGGATTCCAGGACCCTATTGTGGGAAAAACAAGAATAGACACACTGCCTCGCCAACAAGCATTTCATAAGAGTCGACTAATTTGGTGCTTTCCTCAAAGTCAGGCAAGAAACCAGCAATCTTCATACAAGTAAATCAGATCTGTAAAATGGATGTGCACGCAACACTAAGGTTCTGGAACAAGACTAATGTCCAAAGGTGGAAGAACAACCAGAACTTTCTGTCGCAGTTTAGAGCTGGTGAACGTGAAGAAGAAGATTAGGCAAGTGTATTACCATTTAACCTGATGTGTTCATTATGGGCAAAATGAATAAAAATTATGAACATGATTTAGAAACAAGAACAAAGGAAGTCAAAGCGATCTTTTCCTGTTGTAAATTTGAAAAAAGAAGACGAACAAAATATTGCACAATTAATTGCCTGGCATATTTTGCTGTATCTCTTCAAAATTTGTGCTTCAGTTATAAAAGATTCACTTATCTGCCTGATTTATTTAACTGTTTTTGTAGTATGCTCCTGGCGAGATACAGTGAAATATGCCAGGCAGTAAACTGTGCAATCTATTGTTTGTTTCTTCTTTGTTCATACAAAGGAAGTAATGAAACAAAAATGTTTAAAGGATCAGTTTCTTACTTTTTTAACATCCACAAATACATGTTTAGAAAACAAAAATGAGACACTTGTTTTCTAAAAACATATGTTGGCTTTATTTATATTTGTAAAGAAAGACTGTCTTTTACCAGTGGATGGATTGTTTGTCAGCCTTGGTGGTCTCACAATGGTGTAGTTTATGTCGCTGCAGTCAGAGAGTAGAAAGTCTTCAAATAACTCCATATCTCGAACAAGGTTTCGCAGAAACGATGGCTTTAGCACCCATCGCCAAAAAAATGGAAGACCAGGGTCATCTGAGAAGTAGAATAGGGAAAGAAATTAATGCAAAGTTAAATGAGCATATGTAGGCACTGTAGTAAGGCAGCTGGTGGATTACATGTCAGTCCGAAGGTTTGAGTTTGAATATGCATATTTTTTAAACTGATCTAGGGCTCCCAGCAGCCTAAAAGAGGGTTATTCAGCTGGCAAACTGTGGGCCAAATCCAGCCCAGTTTTTGCCTGTCCTATTCTTTTTCTTATCTCAGTTATGCATCTTCCATCTGATGCTATCCATGTGCCCAGATTCTTAAATTTCTCAACTTTTATTACACACTTAGAAATAATTTGTTTCTTTGATACCACCATTACTTCTGTCTTCCCATTATTCAAACTGAGGCCCATTATTCCACTTTCTAACACCACAATGTCTATCATTTCCTGTAGTTCTTTCTGACTTGTTGCTATCAAGACTGTGTCATCAGCATAACGTAAATTGTTTTTATTGTGCCCACCAACCACAATTCCGGGCATACCAATTAAAGATATCATTATATATTCACTGTATATTGAAAACAAATCAGGTGACATTACACATCCTTGTCGTACGCCCCTCTTTATGCTTTGAAATGTACCTAAACAGTTGTTAATTCTTATAGCTGCTGTTTGCTGCCAATACATATTCTTATTCGTAGATCTTTCCCATCAATGTTTAATTTTTCTAACAGTTTGATTACTTCTTCATGCTTCACACAGTCAAATGCTTTTGTATAGTCTATGAAGCATATGTACAAATCAGTCTTTACTTCTATAGCTCTTTCTGACAATGTCCTTAGGATGTATATGGCATTGTTTGTACCTTTTCCTTCTACAAATCCACATTGTTCATCGCTGATTTCTGGTTTAATTTGGTTTCTTATTCTTCTCATAATTATTCTCAGTAAAATCTTAAGTCATGTGACTCATAAGACTAATTGTGCGATGGTCTTCACATTTTATAGTGCCTGGTTTCTTAGGCAGAGCTATAAATATGGATTTTAAAAGGTCATTTGGAATATACCCACTATTGTAAATATCATTTAAAAGTTTAATTATTATTTCAATTCCAAAATCTCCCAGTGAATTCACCTACTTACATAAAAAAATCCAACTCTAACAACTATTGGCTGTTGTGTTGGTATTATAACAGACAGACTAACTAGTTTGATGCATGATTTGCAGATGGCTTGATGCATGAAGTGACTTGACTCGGACTCGACTTGGAAGCATTCTTGGTGATTTGCATGACTTTAATTGGGACTCAAAAGTGACTAGGGACTCGACAGGTGATGACTGAGTCTAAGTTCTGCAATCCTCACATCAAATATCTGTAATTTATGTCTCTCTTTATGATGATACAGACAAACATCCTCATTCCCATCTATTTTTTGATGTTATTTGTTTCTGTCTTAACTGTATCTTCCTCTTACATGTCTGTCCCCCCCCCCCCCCCCCCCCCCAGCTCTGTCTTGGTTTAAGCAAGGTTTTGCCTTTCCACATGCTGAAACAATTTCTCCTTCTTCTTCTTTGCGTTCGGTTTCGTATGCTCAGATTTGACCATCAGGTGGGTTGCCCCTCTATGAACTCGCATGTCAGTAGCAGGCTCTTCATGGTCCCATAACTTGCTCTGCACACTTTGTTCTTGAGGCCAGGTGTCTTTTTGAAATTGTATGTAGAGTGGGCAGGTATGTAGAATGATCTCAGGTGTTTGTGGTCCTGTATGACAGGCACACTGTGGGGACTGTACAATCCTTATTTTATGCATGTGGTAGTTGAGCCTGCAGTGTTCTGTTCGTAGATGGAAAACTGTTGTATGTTGCTTTTTTTTTTTTTAGTTTAATGATAGGATCTTGTTTACTGTTTGTTCTCTCCACAATTTCTTGTATTTTCCTTTGATAAGTGTTCTGATTTCTGGTAACAACAATGGATGGGTGTGTTGTTTCTCCTTTGTTCTATAAAAAAAATTTAACTGTTAAACCTTAATATCATTAGAATTCTTTTTCTAATATTTCATTTCTATTCATTCTGTCTTCCAGTGACATTTGTAGATTGTGACGCTGCAACATATCAGTAATAATAGGTGTATACTATTATTCTTATTATTTGATTTGCCAGCTGACAAGAGTGCCTGATGGAAGGGTGGGGTGTGAAGTAAGTAAAGATCCCTTTTCACACTTCTGGGCGCATCGGTCATATGGGAAGAGCACCCATATTTTTACAGACCAGTTGGCACTAGGTGGGTAATGTGGTCAGCATTATGCCGGCCATATTTACTTCCCCAAGACAGCCATCCTGGTTCCCATTTTAGGCTGGGCTGACCTGCGACGCCCATACCATGATAAACATCCACTTAGCCAGCAGTTGGTTTCGATTGCGGTATGTTGGAATTATGAGTCGGACTCGCAACCCTTAAGCCACGAGGGTAGGGTGTAGTCACAGTAAAAACAATTGTGTGGGACCTAATAAATGATTTTTTTTTTAAAACAGAGATAAAATAAAAAGAGTGACAGAGGAAGGCAAAGCAAGAGAGAACAAAAAGTATTGTAACAAGTATGGTAAATAAGAATGTGTGGATGAAAGCTAATGATTGAATATGAGATCCCCGTGTGGGTTCCAGGGCCCCATTTTGCGAGAGAAAGAATAGACCCAGTGCTCCCCAACATGCATATTGTAAAAGACAACTAACAGAGTTTCCAGAAGAAGAAAACATGTTTTTTTTTAAAATAAAGTCTACAAGGAAAAAAGTTGGAGTGCATCTGAGTGAGAGGCAAGGAACAAACAGTATGCTTTCAAATAAGCTTGATCTACAAAACAGATATCCACACAAACCTCAAGTTCCGGAACAAGACTAAAGTCAAGAAGTGGATGAACAACCAGAACTGTCCATCAGAGTTTACAGCCCGTAAATGTGAAGAGAAGAAGAAAGAACAGGGAAAGGAAGGCAAAGAGACAGAGACGGTACAAATGATTGTGGGAGATGTGGTAAATAAAAGACAGTGTGAGTGACAATCACTAATACAACATAAGAAAAAGGAAGGCAGAGATATAGAATGGGGAATGGGGGAGGGAGGTCCTGGAGAGAGATGGACAGCACAAGAAAGCTTGTGAGAAATGTGGTATGTGAGGACAAGTTTGGATGAAAGCACACAAGAGAATATGAGATAGGAAGGCAAAGGCAAAGAGAGTAAGAAAAAGAGAAATTAAAGACAATGACACATAAAAGAAAAACAATTAGCAGTAACCTTTAGTTCCCCATGCTGTCACAGCCACAAACCGTTTCACTCCTGTGTCCCTCATAGCACTGACCACAGCCTTTGCAGACTGTGTGTAGATATCACAAGGTGTCGTTATGCCACCACGACCACCCAGTGCAGACAATACAGCATCACAGCCTTGCATGTGCTCTTTCAGTACTGATGTGTCAAGGATGTTACCCTCTATCACCTTAAATAGAAAAAAAAAGTAACTTCTCTGTAAACTGTTCATGGACGTAAATAAAAAATTACTACATGAAAGATGAGATGTTTAAGAAATGTGGCAGGAGAAACAAGAAGAGACAGAGTTACCAACAAAGAACTAAGAACAATGGTAGGCACAGTGCGGACACATGATTTCATTGAACATCTAAGAATCAAATGGTTTGGTTTAGTCAGAGAATCAAACGGTTAAGTCATCTGGTTAGAATGCAACAAAATCAGCCATCAGCTCGAGCATACTACATGAGAACAGCAGGCTACAAGGCAAGAGGCTGACCAAGAAAGATATGGGTGGATGGAGACACTACAGAAATGCGATGTGACAATAACACAGGCTACACAATTAGTAAAAGTCAGAAAACTACATTTAATTCCTCTCTGCAATGCTTTAGGGCATAAGCAGTAGGACACACAGACACAAAAGGAAAATACGAAGTACACTGTCCATATGTGACTATTAAAGACTGAGTAATCACCTGTTTAACAATCCACATGTTAGGAGTTACTGTATCTAGTTTAGGATCTTCGTGTTCACATAGTGATGTCCATAAAGATCTTTCAGTGGTCCAAACAAATGGAAATCTGAAGATGCAAGATTAGGTCTGTATGGAGGATGTGGTGATAATGGTCAGCATTCACGTTGTTTTCCAGTTCCAAGAAGCTGAGAAGAATCACAGCCTTTTCCTCCCAAACATGAAGGTCCTAACTTTCCCTACAGATGGTTAACTTTTGACCTTTTTTCTTGTCAGCATTGTTGTGTCCCCTGACTGTCTCTTCAATTCGATTAATACTTTTCTCCTTTAGTTTTGTAATGGTGCAGGAGGTTGATTTATATGGTTTTCCTTGTTTCTCGATGTATGTCACATTATGGGCACACAAAGTGCACAAACTTTTGAATAACCCAGGGCTTTAATGATAGTCTGGATGCTGCCTTTACTAATGGACAACATGGAATACTTGTAACCAGGTGGGGTTTACATTTAAAGGGCTGGGTAGACAAAAGAGCGATATAAAAGTAGAGAGAGACAGACGAGAATAATAACTGCTGAAAGATGTATAAGATGAAAGGTTCTCCTGTGTGGGGAGTGTAGTATGAGTCTAAACCCCAAACAATCAGGTAATAGTCAGTGGAGGTCTGAAAAAGTGTTATGTAGAGTCAGTAAAGAAATGGTAGTATAACAGCTATGACAACTAAATAGTGATACAACACCTATACTCTACAAACTAACGATGGAATAGAAGAATAACAACTAACCATCATATTTATTAAAGAAAAGAATAACAAAGTCGTATATCACTTATTATACAAACAAGATCACCTCAAAACACAACATAATACACAAGATGTTATAACTCAAATATTAGAAGAGCCCACCATTCATAACAACTGACAGCAGAACCTACTCTACTCAATGATAAACTAGCAAGTAACTCCTACAATCTCCATTGCTGCTGATCAGTACTTACACACAATTACCATAATGCTACATCTCAGTCAACTTCTATCTCGATACCACCCACTAAATGCAGAATGTCAGCTACAAATTTGCCAACCCAGCATATTGCCCATACCAAGGCTCTCACGAGATGACTCTTCAAAACCTGAAGCCGAAAGGTAGAATAGGACTAAAGAAGAAGAAGAAGATTATGAAGAAAGAGACACAATAACAATTACCTGGGATGGGGGTCACTAAGATCTCCGCTGAGAATCTCCATGGCTAAGTGGTTAAGCCACTTGCCCACGCTCTGAAGGTTGTGGATTAAAATCCCTGACTGTGTTTTCATAAAGTCATAAGTGCAATTTTTACGGAGATCCCTGAGGAATGTCACTAGAACTTTGCTGATGGTCTCAGGAGGCATCATCAATTCTGCTGTGAGAGACTGAGCCATGTGGGATAAGACCCAGTGCAATAAAGTTGACCCTCTTGATTTTAAACTTTTATGTTAAACTTTAGAATTCTGAAAGAGAATACATTATTTCTGTTAGGAGAGTGCTTCAAAAGAAACTTTGAAAGTGTGAAGGAAATTAAAATAACCATGCAATTGTCTTATAATCTGTCATGCACCAAAGAGTAGCAGTGTTCTGTTACCCCTTTTTAAAAATTAGTGAAGCAGTGAAATCTACAAAAATTTACTGGCAAATGAATGCCCAGTATGATGATGTATGCCTGTCAGTTCAGCTAGTGTATGAATGTAGTAGGAAGTTTCAAAATGGCTGACTTCAGTAACAGACTGTTCATGACTGGGTCAGGCATATCAAGTGGCCGCTGAAGGCCTCCTAAAGGAAAAGTGCCAACTGTCTGTGAGTGACATTACTACACATCTTCACATCAACCAAGGTTAAGCACATCACATTATCCACGAGCTACAGTACTGAAAAGTGTCGGCTCCTCTTTGGTGCATGTCAAAAGTGGGGTGGCTATCTCTAAACTGTCATTATGATGTTCCCATGTTAATCTTCAATGTTATGCTCCATGCTTAAAACACTCTTGATATCCTTACCAACAATACTGAAAGGTTAGCAAGAAAATGACATGGTTATTGTTATTTCTATCACAATTTTCCTAACAAAAGTGGCCCTGGAACCCACACAGGGAAGACACACATCTGTATCAGAAGGCAAAAGGCCCTTGCTGTTGAACTAACCTTCAGCTTGTCACTTTTTGTGGTCAGTTTCTCTGGACTCCTGACCACAGCAATAACCTCATGATTTTGGGAAATAGCCTCATTGACCAGCTGTTGTCCAGTTGGGCCAGTGGCACCAAGAACAAGTAACTTCATGCCTGTGACTGGATTTGATACTTAGTAAACCCTGGATTATGTATGAATGTAAATACACATATTTATTTAGGTTTACAGTAAACAAATTAAGCAAGAAATGGAAGCCTCCTAATAAATCAGTAAAGGCCACAATTCACACCTTCAGTATATTGAAGCATGTGATGCTAGCCCCACAAACTGTCAGACCAACTGACACTTGATGTGTGATGTGGTCAATACCACACCAGTCACCTTTACTTCTGTGGACATTTCCGGTTGGTGAAATCATCATCACATCCCCTCCAGACTGTTAAGGCAATAATGCATCTCCACTTGTCCTCCGGATGAGTTCCACCAAAGATATCTCTCTGCGCCACTGTTGCAATTCATCCGTCATTATCTCTCTCGGTCTGCCTATCCCTCTTCTAGCGATGACCTTGCCAGATGTCAAAATATTCTCCAAAGCCCACCCCCCCCCCCCCCCCTTTCCCCGATCACATGACATGGTGGAAGCTCAGGTCAATTTTATAAATTTGTCTGTGAGAATTTAAATAAAGTCAGCAGACTGATTACTGATTTTAGAATAAATATCACAGCTCATCGAGCATATCCCTAGATGCTCCCGCAGCAAATGTCTTAAAGTGTACATACCAACTGTTGTTCTAGTGCAGGACTATTCAAATGGTGGCGTGCATGCCCAATCTGGCCCTCGGAGGAGTAGTAAGTGGTCCACTAATAGCTGCCAACTGTATTGTATAAATGATCTTTCTATGCTGGGGCTCAAGCTTCTGGCCAGTGACTTTCAACATTTCAGCCCCTGGGTAAACTTAAATTGAATAGTCCTGCCCTAGCGTATTAATTATACACATGTCTTTCTCTCCCTCTTATATGCCCATCTTTGCCAGATCCACTCCTTATTTCATATTCACACAATCTTACATATGTCAGCAGATAATTGTGCCAAATGACATAAGTCTTAGTTTTATTCGCCATCTTCTGTAGGCTTCAGGGTAAATAGTTAATGAGCACACACTAGGCGGTCATCTATGTGCTGCTCATGTGGAGCGTTTATGGGAATGCTCTGAAAGCTGTGATGTCAATTCTGGACTCAACTCAACCAGGTGCTGCAAATGACTGCAGAAGTTGGATGTGTCAGCCGAAAGGCAAATGTTTGCAATGTAAAAAAGCAGTGATAACAGTTCGCATGTATGCAGGCTTACTCCAAAGCTGCTAAGATTAAGAAAGGTCTAAAGTATTACCCTTCATTTAAGTGCCACTGAAAATGTTAATAAGGTTTCAATTACACATTATGTAGGTTTGTTGCGTATCCTTTACAGGACGTTGCAGAACCAACCTCAACAGCTTCTGGCTGTTGTGTGGTTTTTCTAGGCAAATTTACGTCCAGTAGTTTGTCTAATTACACAATATACTTTCAGAAAAATGCAATTTAGGTTATCTAGTTAGTTAGTTAGTCAACAGATTATTATCATTGTACATCAAACCATCCAGTCCATAGGTTATCTAAACAATATAGAATAAACCCAACAGCCACCACAATCATGACTGGTCAAGTGACCATTCTCTTCCTTTTGTGGGAGCATAATAATAATATGAAATCTTTCAATCCCAAGTAGTTGTTACTTTGACTCATTTAATCCTAGTAACCTAACTTGCTCTATCTGATGTGAAAGTGCAGAAGAAATAAATTCCTTGGTATGGAAGTGTTTAACAGAGACATCACAGGAACAAAGTGGTTAAACTAATAATTCAGATATGAAATGTTAATTTAACTTTTGTCTTTGGTAGAAGACAGCAAAAACAGCATGCTGTTTTCACAACTACCAAGAATCACACATGAGTTTTTTGGTGCTGAAAGACTTCATAGTGTGAGATGATTTCATTTGTTAAGCTTGACAGTTTTGTACTTATGGACTAAAAATACATTCTGACAGTGTTTTACAAGACTGACCTGGGTACTGTAAGTTAGGAACTATCTATTTGTCCAGTTGGTGGATACTAAACTTTAGATTATCTGGTCAGAATTAGATTACAACTAAAGAAAAAACTTGAAATAACTATAAAGTTCCAACATGAGAAAATGTCTAATGACTAATAGAGAAATCAACACAGTTATATATCTTATCAATACCCAGAAAACATCTACCTTCCCTCTGCAATGAGTCAATAAATATTTCACTTATAACAATAAAGATTGAACAGGATATCTATGATTAAACTGCTAACACAGCTGCTTCACAATCACTAGAACAAAAGACAGAATAAATGAGTGTTGGAAATAGTTGCTACACTACTAACAATGAATTACTCTAATTACTTTTGACAATATTATTAATTTGCTGATAGTAATTGAGGACTGAAAGAAAAGTTTCCATTTGTTTTTAAAGGGGTGGCCCAAAACTTATGCAACTTTTTTGTATGAAATTTGTATTCCTTTGTTTTTTTTGCTTTGTTTTTATTGCTTAAGGTTTTTGCCTAACATTTAGAGGGTGCAACGTAAATGCAGACAAAATAAAAACACACTTCCCGACGAAATTCGTACAGAAATCTTCCCAAAAATTTCTTTAAAAAATTCCTAATTTTTTTATGCTCTTTTCCAAGTTATAGTTATAAAACAAAATAAACATAAAATTTAAAATAAAACCAAAAAAAAAAAAATAAC